CTTTAAAAACTCATCAATTTCTTTCAGTGCAGCGATCGGAAGTCCATTAGTTAGCATGCGCGACCACAGACAAAAGCTCGTGTACGCGTGGATTCAACAAATTTCTGCTTCTGAATTTTACAAGTTTGCACTTTTTAAGGGGGGGTTGGAAGAAGGGCTAACAGAAAAGGGTTAAGGGTGCATAGTGGCGGGTTTGGGCCATGGACCACTGGGCCCATGGGCCATGTTGTTCTGCCCGCTGGACGTTTGGAGCTTTGCGTCCGTGGCGCCTTTGTTTGCCGCTACCGCTGCACGATTCAAATGTGCTCGACAAAGAGAATTATTTAATACACGTTTCACCTTTTGCCCAGATTTTTATTTTGCACTGTGTCCGCATCTGGGATCCACATATGTATAGGTATATATGTATCTGGCATGAGCATTTATCTGTGAGTTTGCCTCAAGTAAAAGCGTGTTGGTTACACATTTGTGTGTGCCCGTTTTTGGCTCTGCAAATATTTGAGAAGAGCAGCAGAGTCGCGTTTTGCAACAGCTGAAATATAACGTATACACGCAACATTAACGTGCCATACCTGTCCTGCGTCTGCGTTCTACTTCCTATTGAGTGTAGCTGATATTGGTGTTGGTCTTAATGGAGTGTAGAGGTGTGCGAGAAGCAACAATACGACAGCGTGCATGACTTTGATATGACAAACTTTGGAGCATTACAATAAAAATGCAAATGCTAAACAAACAGGCAACACTCCCCTGCAAAGGTACGCTTCAACCTCGACTGGCAAACCATAAAAATACACACACCACGAGACATAAATTTATTTATTAAGCTTGCCAAAATCCCACAGATAATAATTTCATTTACGCATTCCCACGAACCAAAGCCAAGAAACCGGATGCCATAAAAATCCAACAAGGGTTGGCAGAGCAATAATTCTGCCATAGTTATTCCCATTGCCAGGTGAACAATCTCAGCTAATAAGAGATCGAGAGGAGGGCAGCCCATGGAAATTGGCTCCCTACAACAAAATCACAACAGGCACACACTCCCATCCATTCAACTTTAACTACATAAAAAGTAATGTCATAGCATTGGCTATGCGTTCACAGAGAGAAAATCATGGAAATTACACATACAAAATGAGATTTTTCTTTTATGTTTCCCAAGCACATTTGCCTTACCAAGGCTATATATAACTTTTTTTTAACATATTTATCACCTGAATATCTATAACGAAACTCCTAAAAACATTTCTTTCACTGTACCCACACGCTTCTATATTTATTTACATTTTTTTTATCATTGCCGCTCCAGCCATTTTCAGATTTTCCACTTACAATTATGCATAATAAGCGCTTATCCACCAATTGCCGTAGAAGATGCCAATGGAGTGGGCTCTGTTCTATAGGAGTATCCTATACAGTATCATAATCATCTATTAGAGCAAATCGGTAGATGGCCGCCAACTCGATTCGCCCTACTCTGCCACTCCATGTGGCGGGACATAAGATGCAGAATCATTTCCGTTACATATAAATACACTTTTCTGGTTCAATTGCGGCTTTTTGCGTGACTTGGCCGGCATCGAAATCGGAATCAGTATCAGGAATCGCCTTTTGATACTATGCTATGGGGATATGGTGGCTATATGGGGTTAAAAGGGGGGATATAGAGGCATCGATATCGGCATCTTCCACGGCAGTCAACAGTCAACGAGCGCAATTTAAACTTGTTACGTGCTTCCAGCATCGTCATGTTCGGCGTAATGAAATGTGGAACACAGATATACACACACACACACCCATTCACACACACATCGACTATCCAGTATCAGCAGCTAGTCAGACACGGCAGCATTTTTCTGCCTGATTTGAGGATGCCGTCGTCTCTGGCCATCGAAGCGTGCCCTTTTATTACTATCCCATATCCGAGAATACAGTCGAGTCATGCCTCTCGTCTGGAAGTATCCTCATGTGTTTATCTCATCCTGAAAATTATGAATCCCCTCCTATTCCATAGCCTTTCATTGCCAAGAAATTGGTTTGTCTTTCGCCGTCATCGGAGATGATTAGCATTGTTTCAGTTACGACTCGCGTGGGACATTAAAATCGTTTATGTTTTTTAGCTAAATTTTACATTCCTTTTAAGCTCTTAGATAAAAGAAATTTGAGGGTTCTTTCAATCTGAATGTCTTTAAAACTTGTTTGGTTGCTGAATCTTTAAGGTATTTATGTAAAATTCTGCGTTAGCTAGTCCAAAAATGTCTAAAATGAAATACTGCTAAAAATATTCTAAGAATTCACTTGAAACCACCACCCATTAGACAACATATTTGTTTTCCATAAGGTTCAGATGTGAATTTTTGAAGTTTTAAAGCAAAAGTAAGAAAAAATTAAATAAAAAACATAAATTGAGCGAAAAGAATCTTTCATTTACCTATACAACCTTCACTTTGTGAAACTGCACACCCCTTTCGCAGCTCCACACACATTGTTTTAACATTCCAATATGAATGCCAATAAATAACCAATTGAAGGCAAATATTGCAGCAAAAACAGCAAGCCATATAATGGAATTTTAAAACTCGATTCCCAGAGTACAATGGCAGAGGCAGCAGTGGCCGCTGCTCATGAGCATTCATTCATCAGTCCAATCAATCTGCTGGCGGATAACTGGCAGAAGCAACCAATTTGAAATAAACTATGCACAGACACCTTGCCAACCATCATCAACTCGGCACTGTCGGCACTGGTTTGCCATCCTCGGTAAGTTTGTCCAATAAATTCCATTCGCCTTTCGCTAGGCCCTGATTGCCAGTCAGCCTTTGCAGCCTTTTGCTGCCTTTTCTGCCTTTGATGATAAATTAAACCGTGTGTCTACCGCTCGAATTTATTATGCGCCAAAACGCCAAATGGCTGTCAGGGATCTCTCTACCGCGGCCGCGAAACCTTTTAAACTTTAAATCCGCATCAATGCATCATCGGTGAAAGCCGTGCCAAAGTAACAAACTTTGCTTTTCTCTGCTCCGCCGCCTTGCTTCTGGTCGCGATTTTTTCTCTGCCATAAATTGCGAAAGTGGCTTTGCCAGGGGAACTCCCTGGAGGCGGGCGGTTCTCTAGGATCTGGCCTTTCTTCGCTGCAATCCTTTGCGGCTTGTTTATGCGCTTCACACGCCTGTCTTTACCTGGTGAAACCTACCTCTTACCCTCTGCCTCCTGCCCCTGGCATATTGGTTATTAATGTTTATGGCCTCACCCTGTCGTCGTTTGATCTGTGCCAGTTACTTGGCCAATGAGATTTATAATTTCATTTGGTGGCCATTACAATAATTCATACCGGAAGACAAGCTGCCCTTTAGTTCTTTATGAAAATGAAACTGAATAAAAATTATATAATATAAGCCAAATAGCTCCTCTGACTAACTAAGTTAGAATCTACATTTAAAGTGCAATCTTCTGATAATATAACATACTCGTATATTGCCCAAGAGCAGTTCTGTTCTATTTGGATTCCAAGGGCTTACTTTCGACTTAGACAGATTTAATATTGCTCTATTTGCATGTCGTGCTTTATTGCTTTTATATTGGCTCATATTTCGTGTTTTGTGGAGCGAGTTGAACTTGGCCAATGGAATGGGCCAATAGAGAGAAGGTATGGCTGAGTCGATGGGGGAACGATGAAGGTTGTAAATTGCGACAGGTTGCCAACGGGGCTTTAAATTTCAATATGGGCTCTATGTCATCGAATGACCGACACGACAACGTCTCTCCGCACCCACCCCAAGTGCGGGTGTGCAGAGCCGAAAATTTATGGCGTAATTGAAACCGGAAACTGCAACGTTTTGTGGTGAATTTTAATAAAGTTTCGCCTTTGTCCATAGTTATTTATTGACAAATAGCAGATAATTTGATTTTGTGCCAATATTTAAAAACAATGCGACAGAAACATGAGGGCGCAAAGATCCTCGAACGGGGGATGCGGATTTAGGACCCCCGGCAATTTATGTGACTCTTGTCCTGGTTTTCCGCCATAATTTCATAATACTTTTTTGTTGTTTTTTGAAGTCAAAGGGCTAACTGTAATTGGATAAAATGTCAGTGGTCGTGTACGTACGGGTTGTAGAGAAATCATTTTCGGATTTGGAAAAAGGGAAAACTGTGTCAGGATGTGTGATAAAATTATAAATTGAATTTTCAGCGGCACCCTTTTCACACTTTTTGCACTCATCTGCGGTCAAAATAAGGGGAAATTTAATAAACGGTGATTAAAATCTATCGCTTTGTAATCAAATTTTTTAATAGTTTGCTTTTGAAGGGTGTTTTTAGGAAAACGACTATTAATAAATCTAGTTTAGTAAATGGAGCTTTGAGAGACCTAATGAAACATATTGTAAAAAAAAAGTAGGAAAATGTTAAATAGAATGTTCAGCCTTTCTAATACTCCAAAATACATTTTATTTATTGAATTTAAATTAAGAGTTTACATTCCCCTAAAAGATATATTTAAGCAAAACTCATAGTTAAAGAGGCGTTTTTATTTCCTATAACAAAACATTAAATAAAGCACCCCTAAACAAAGCTTAAGGACACAGATAAAGAAAGGGAATCGACTTATAAGACATAAGCTTTAGTAACAGCCTAAATCCAAGCAACCGTTCCCTGAGGAATGAAAAAAGTGTCAGCATTCATTGATGAGTATGATGGTGTTTCTATAACCCAAAAATTCGGAACTACGCAAGGCACAAGTTTGATTTCCGGGCAGACCAATAAAAGAAATGGGAATGAACCAAATGGGAGTGTGTGTTTGTGGGTGTGTGTCGTGACCTATCTGGGAGCCAGATTAGCCATCATCTCCGAGGCCATAAAAGCCTATTAAACAGAAGCAAAATGCAGGAAGAAACTAGCACCAGGAACTAGCACCAAAAATCACTTTTTTATGTTCTTTTACAACTACTACATAATATTAAATATTATATTATATTTATTTGGTAAGAAAACTAAAGCTCTTGATGTGAAATATTTGCATTTGGAAGTCATAACACATTCGCAGATTCAACGATCTCCACGTCCAGCGCTACTTTTATTATCCAGTCAATGTACGCCATTACATTGGTATAAACGGTCTTTTTGGTTTCAGAATTATGATAACTCAGGATACCATATTGAGAATAAACTCCTGGTTCTGTCATATTGGTCAAAGGGCTGCCGCCTTCAGTGGGCTCGCTTGTTACAATTACCTCGACTTTATTACTTGGACAAGGATCAGCTAGCCATATCCAACTAAGAAATTTTCTTCCAAAGCCACATTTTTCTTGTTTAGGCAATTCAGTTTTCTCCTTGCTCCTCTCAATAGTAGGATTGGGTTTTTCTTCTTTGGCATTTACCTCAATGCATATCGGCTGTATGTGCTCCTTATATACGACATTGGTTTTCAATTTCAACAAAGCTATGTCATTCTGATGACTTTCTGGGGAGTATAATCTGTGTATCCAAGCCATCTCTACAACATGTTTTTCGGAGGTGTTTTTGTCCCTTGTTCTATTCGATCCATCGATCACTCCCAAGTGAACAATGCTGTTAAGGGAATATAATATATATTAACATAAATATTTTTGGAATTATCATAACTTACAGTGGGGTTCCGAGCGTAAGGCAACTCGCCGCTGTCAAGACATATCCTACAAAATGGCAAGCCTATTATTTTAGAAGGTTATGATTATCATTTCTGATACTAACGTTCGTTGACAAGAGTGCCGGCACAGAGGAATTTAGAAGTTCGTAGTGATCGGATTTCAACCATCCACGGTGTAGCACTAGTGAGAATCTTGAACTTTCCACAATTCTGCTCCAAAAAAAGTGAATCACCCTGATGGACCAGCAGCAGAGCGCAGAACACCAACCAGCTCGTGGCACTCATTATTTAAGACTAAAACCAAGCGATAAGCCGCTCTACAATTATTCACTTAAAACCAAAGAAAGTTGCTCTCTTTCGTTTGAATTTAAGAACCTTATCAGGGATTCAGTGAAATCTAAAAACGTTGCTGCTGTTGCTGCGAGCGTTTTAACAATTCTCAAAAGAAGAAATTCCCAAAATGTTTCGAAATTGAAAAGTGAGTCACAAGAAATATCATTAATTAAATTTCTAAGTTTTCCTCTAAAGCTCATTAACTATAAAATAAATTCTAACAGATCTGTATATACATCTACGTACCTAATAGAAATGCTGTTCTTAAGCCGAAATGTGTATCCCTTGTTTAAATTATAGTTTACTTGCACTTTGACATACTTATATTTATTTAATCATAAAAACAATACATATATATGAAGAAAATTTAAAACACAATGCTTAGATCATATTTTGTAATGTTCTGTTTTATCTATATTTAAAACTATTTATAGGCAAAATTAATAAATAAGTTTCAAGTCGGACTCCGCTCTTTACGAACGAAAACTGAAAGTCTGACAAAGTCAAAAGAGAGCACGCGAAAGAGAGAATTACGCGTAAAAGAGCAATTCCAAACATCTTATCTTTCCCCCTCTCCCACCGCACCAAGGCCCTGTTTCTTTCATATTTCTCTATTAGAGCATTAAAATCACTGTAAAAAAAAATCTATAACAACAATAACAATAAATATTATGAAAACAAATATATGTAAGGGCCACTTACCTTGATTTTTACTCAAAGTTGAATTGGAATTTGTTGGATTTTATAAAATAATTTTACCTTGTTTTTCCACACAAAACCTTGCATTTCGAAGCCACTAACGTTTTCTCCGAGTGTATATCTCATATGTTTTTATATACAGTTGAATATATATGTATATGTATTTAGATAAGCATACATATTTTCACTTCACCCGCGGAGTTTAACTTGCATTTTGACATAATATATATTTAAATTAACCTTTAAAACAATAAATATTAGGCAAAACCCACAAAGCAATGCTATCACTTTTCTATTTACGATTTTCTTTATTGTTTAACACTTTTTATCACCAAAAAGAAATGAAATTTATTTCATTTGGAGGAGCAAATCTTTATGAATGAAAACTAGAACAGTGATAACCTGAAACTGATAAGCAGCCGGCAGTGAGGGGATATCGATGAATAATCGGTTTTACAGATCTTCTTTTTAGTCTCTTCTTTATCGAAATATTTCGAATATTTTCTATAAAATGCAGAATGGGGAACCTTAACAAATAGTCGAATGTAATATGAAATCTAGCTAAAACCAGATAAATCCAGATATGATTAGACATAAAACTGGTAATTGAGCAATATAACTTAAAATCAAGGTGATTAATTAATATATTTCCATATTTAACAAATACACGTAGTCCTTGTGAACATCATTAAATACGATATAAAAGGTTTTACGCAATAATTCTGCTCAATATTTTAATTTACTGGCGAATAATTTGATAAAATAACATCGACATCTAGAGCTCGTGATGTTATCCATTCGACATGTGCCATGACATTGGTATAAACTAAGCCATAGGTGGTGGCATTACGATAGCTTAGGATTCCATGTTGGATAACATTCTTCGTCTTGGACATTATGCTCAATGGGTTCCCAACGGACTTACAGGGTAGCCCGGAACATAAGAATTTATAAGATTTTTGTTTTGAGTTTAGGCCAAACAGAAAGCTATTGATGCGGGACTTAGGCCAAGTCTGTTGGGGATTCAGCACAATGCACATCGGTTTTATATGCGGCTTATACTCGACATTCGTTGGCAACCTCAGCAAACCAATATCATTCTGATGGCTGCTTGATAGATATGACTCGTGAATGAAGACCATAATGACATCGTGCACTTCATAGCGATTATCTGTCATAGAGCTTTCACACTTCCCCAAGCAAACCACCCTGTTTTAAAAGTTATCTCGTTAATATTTTAAGATGTGTATATACTAAATAGGTAATCTCTTACAGTTCTTCTCTGTCTACCAAGCAACTTGCTGTTGTTAGGACATTTCCTAAAAGTAAATTTTGTTTAGATAGCACCAGATTTCATTCTTAGTACTTACTTTTTTGAATAAGCGTTCCAGTGCATATGACTTCATTATTAACTTTAGTTCCAACTTTTGCCAGCCAAGGATAGAAATTGGTTTTCGAATCAACGACTCCACAGTTCTCTTCCAAAAATAAAGCTGAAGCCTGGTGAAACACCAAAAGAGAAAAAATTAATACCCACAGTGCTGAAGTCATCTTTCCCAAACAAAAGACTTCGCATTACTAACTCATAACGTCGAGTTTACTGAGAATATATTGTTGAATGATAAGCTTATCAGTTAATTTAACATATATAAGCGTTTCCGCATTTTATAATTTAAGTGAAATATAAAAGAAAGTAATAAATAATTACTTAATAGTACACTAAAATTTTGTATGAGTCCACTCTGGAGCAGGATAAACGACGTTGACATCTAGTGCGTTAGGTACTATCCAGTCAATATAGGCAAATACATTCGTATAGACATCAGCATATGTTTCTCTATTCTGATAGCTTAGGATCCCTTGTTGTATGATTCGGTTCATAGGTCCAAATAAGATTGTTTCACTTCCAATGAAATTGGATGATAGAAATTTCTCTTCTTTGTCGTCATCATCGGAGCCATTAAAAAATGACTTTGCGATATTCCAAAAACTCTTTTTTTTGGGTTTCTTATTGAATATTTCAAAAGTTTCCCCTATAGTCTTATATTCATCATTCTTAGTAATGCATATCGGTTGTATATGGGTCTTATATTGCACTTCTGTTTTCAGTCTAAGCAAACCTATATTATCTTTCTTAGTCTTCTCGGAATATGTCTTGGGAAAATAGGCCATTGTCGCTATAAAGTTCTCGTTCCTATTTTCAGAATGGCCATTCCCTAAACGAACGATACTGGGGAGTAAATTTGGGTTAAAGTTTTCTTTTTGGTGAACTTTTAAAAATATGACTTACAGGTCCTTTTGATTTTTTATGCAACTTGCAGCTGTCAAAATATAATCTAAGTAATAGAATATATTATTTGAGAATACAGGAATAAATTTAAAGTTAAAATACAAACGTTTATTAATTAGCGTGCCAGTGCAGATTATTTTAGAACCTTTCCAAATTTCTGCCTTCCAAGGATTGGAACTATTCTTAGGATTTAAGGCTAAACAATCATTATCAAGAAATTGCCCTGATCCCTGATGGAACAGCATAACGGTGCACAGAGCTATCCAACGCGCGGCACTCATCTTTCCCAAAGAGAACTCACTGCTTTACTGATGCAGCATCGCAAAGTGAGCTCCGATTTTATACAAATAGAGCTTATCGGGGAACTTTCCAATGAACCTTATCGAACTGTCCAAACTAGTTTATTTTTCTTAAAAAGGTTTTCAAGATCTTAGAAATTCATCAAGAATAAAATCAGTCAGTTTCTATTTTAAGATTATATATATGCATATTAATTATATTTTATGTGATTAGCCAACACGGATGCTACACACATTTTAATTTTATTATTTCGAATGATTCATGAATTCACAAGAATTCCCATGATTTTGGGAATTTGTGACCTTTTTCTCGCTGTGTGTCATGGGTATACCAGAATCAGGGAAACTGGACGAAGTCAACGCCCACGACTTGGTCGTCAATGAATTATGGCTTTAATTTCAATTTCAGTCTGGATCCAGCATATGTGTCGTCGTTTCGACATCTCGCCCTTGCTCCCTCATCCTGTCTCCATTTCCCTGGCAAACCACCTGCCAGTAAGCATTGGCCATAATTCTAAAGTCAGTGACGGATCATAAATTCGAAACTTTTCTGCCAGGCGGCAGCGTCAGAAACAACAACAAAATGCAACAGCACACTGGCTCGAGATGAGCCACATAAGATGAATCCATGGGAACCATTGACGGTCAATGACGAAAGCATCAAACGCAAAAACCGATTGCCATCATATTGAAAATATTGAGTTCAACACACGAGAGGGTTATAGGGTTAAAGTCGACTACTAAATGATCTGTTTTTGGAACTAAGTATATGTTTTAAAATATTTTTCTTTTGGTTGAAAGATTCCTTTTAAAAACTATTTAAAAAGCATTTTATTATCAGTTAACACAGCTCAAAAGGTCAATAGCAGAGACTATGGGGATATCTATACTTTTACTCTTTATTTCACTTAATATTATTCTGTCAGAAAAATAACTAAGAGTCAATCAAATAAGTAAGCCTTTTGGTTTTCTTCTCGAAAGTAAACCCTAAAATGTATGCAGAATGTATTCCAAACTTCACCCTGATGATTTCTCGGGAAGTTAGACCTTCAATTTTAAAGGGTAAAAAAGCGTATGTCAGCAAAAGAATAACAACGACAGGCAAAGCAACTGCAAATTACACTTGAATGGAACACAGAGCTGGGGGAAAATGGGAAAAGTGAGGAAAAGTTGGGGTAGTAGGTGAGGGCGCAAGGGGCAAGAGCAAAAGGTAAACGACAAGAATACGATTGGAAAACGATTTTCATTTCTGCAGCTAATATGAGCGACAAATCTAGGAGAAGTGGGTCGAAGTGGGCGTGGCTATTACACACACATACACACACACACACACACAATGCAAAGGGACAATTTCGAAATCAATATTTATGACTGCCCCAGCAGATTTATTGCAACTGGCAAAGAGGGTTCGAATTTCGCCCCCCTTTCTAGTTGAATTCTTTTCTCTATTTTTCCTTAGTTTTTCCTGTATTTTCTTTTATTTTTTCTTTCCTCATCGTTTCTGTTGCTTTTTGCCGAGCTCACAAAATAATAATATCCCGTGTTTGATTTTCGTATGCATGCGCATATCTATTTATTGTCTCGGTGTATTTGTGCTTTGCTTCGTTTATGACACTGCAGCATTTGATGATTTATGCATTTTAAACAAAAATGTCAGCAAATGGACATAAAGGAGCCTGGCATTTTTTGCCGCCCCTCCTTCTCGGGCAAAATGATCAAAGAAATTCCAGTTGCCGATGCATTTGGTTTGGCTATACTGCTGCACTTGCAACTGCATTCAATTAACACACACACACGCAGTCCGCCTTTGGCGACCACCACCCCTTCTGTGGCAACAACAGTGCACAGAAAGAAAAGCAAAATTAGGGGAATATCGTAAGCTTTCTTATTTTTTTATAGTTCGCACAGTTTTACCAATGATCTTCTACTTTTTAGTTAGTGAAACCCTTTCCTCACCCCCCAAAAGTGAAATCCAAAACCTGAACTGTAAAATTTGCAAATTTATTTCTGTGTGCCTGTGTAATTCCATTTGTTGGTCTCGGGTTCTGTTGATGCTGCTAGCCAAGCACAACTTCAATTGAATTATGAATTTCAAATTTCAATTCTACTTCTTTGGCTGCGAAGGCAACAATAACAAATGCATAAACAAACAGTAATTGCTACCTAGCCAAAGTGAGTGAAGGCCTCAAAGCGCATTTGTTTGTGCTCTCCATCGTTCGTTTGGGCAAGGTTTTGGTTTGGTTTGGATTTTGAACCAACCAACAGACGTTGAAATGTAAAACATCCCACCTCGCTTGCCCCCCTCACCCAGTTTCTGGCAGCCTAATGTCCATCAAGGTTTTAAGCTGTTTGTCAGCCACAAACACACTGACGGCCAGACAAGCACACACGGACACAGGGATTTGGCTCATAAAAAGGCCTAAACATTGCATCAATTCATCACAGGGGAAGCAGGGAAAGGAGTAAGGAAAGGAGCAGACTTCAATCCAACATCTGTCATCGGCAGAAGGTCGACCAGGAGTGGAGTGGCCGGGGGGTCCATGATCAACATAGTCGATTTCAATTAGAACCTGCATTTGGATTTGGCTCTGCCATCGAATGATTTCTGTCTGTTTTTCAGGGTGGTCCAATATAATACTCATATATATGTTTTTATTTTAGATTCATTAAGTTACTTATACTTATAGTTAACAAGTAAATATTCAATGATGAGAATAAAGTTAAAATAAGAAATTGTATAGTTTTGGTTAAAGGCATTTACATTGTAACCTCATCTTTAGATTTCGATAAGCTAAATATAGTAATAACTTTCAGAAAAGTAATATTATATAATATAACAAAGGTCCACCCTAGCAAACACTTCCTTCACTTTGCCTCATATGTGGCAAAGATTGTGATTACGCTTCTGTTTTTGTTTAATTTCGAGTATAATATTTGACATGATTGCTACTTTCGGATTTCGATATATCCTGTATAAACAGTAAGGAATCTAGACTCATATTAATTTGCTGGCTCTACAGGCATGAGCATAATATGGTTGAGAGAATGAATGCCGAGGATGAGCAGGAAGCTCAGCCCCTTGATGTTGCTGCAGTCAGTTCGCTTGTGAACTCTGACCGGGCCTAATGAGCCGCATTTAATGAGCCGCAAACACGATAAACATGCAACCGAAACGGCAACAGCAGCAGATTGATGTACAGCATCCTGGCCTCCACCTCAGCGCAGGTAACAACATACACACACACACACACACACATACATACATCAACCCACATCAGAATTTGTCTCGCGGCGCTTTTATCAACTTTCGCGAACATGCCGCGCCCACACACACATCTATATAGGGGAAAGAGGACCTTGCTCAGGATTCGACATTTCATTAACAGGACACAGCCTGGAACAGAAAACGCCAGAGGCCTTTCCTGGTAGTTAGCGCTAACAATGTGGCTTGATGCGGCCAACTTTGAATGTTAGTCGACGGTGGAGGAGCATGAAACGAGCACTAAGTGCCTGGGATTCAAGTTTAAAGTGAAGTGAAACGGCAGTTACTATAATTTGTGAATGGAAGTTATAAGGTTTCCGGTAGAAAACCCAGCTTGTGGTTAGTTTAGGGAAACTAAAAGATTAGATGTTCTAGAAGTATCAGTTGTAAAATGGCTTGCAGAAGCCACTTCCAAGAAAACTGTAATAAGAATTATGATATTATGCAGAAATGGGTTTCCTTTTTGAAAATTAAGCATGCTTTGTGAAAGTAAAACAGAGGTTATTTTTAAATTAAAAATTATCATTCAACCACCAAACTTATATATAGAAAAAAGTTTAGACACTTCTAAATATTTAGAAACCCTTTTGGAAAGAACTTTTAATTTTTCGGCCACAATCAGCTTATGCATTTAACAATGCTCAATTAGGGCACCTAATCAGATGCCCAGAACCCCGCCGAGAAGGTCAAAGGCAGCTTTTAGTCCTGTTCTCGGAAGGCCCCCGCAGAAGTGAAGAGTCAAAAGCGCAGCTCTGTGATGAAGTATGGCAGGAATAATTGTTTTATTGCCCACACAGCCAAATATTTATGCCTAATTGGGTGCCAATTAGCCACTGCCGGCCACCACTTAGTGAATATCCCCTTCTTGCCGCCACTGTGCGCCCTTCTTCTCACCCCAAAAAACCGTTTTGTTTAAACTTTTTATTTTGCTGAAAAGTTTGGCAACGGCCAAAGCGAAGACAAGCAAGGGACGGAAAAGGGAAAACTTAATTAAACTGTCAATTGGTTTCTAATGAATGAATGCAAAGATGAATGAGTAATGAAGCTAATTATGCCCGGCAAATACATCAGAATGGCCATAACCGACATACATAGAATTATGGCAGGCAGTGGAGGGGTGAGAATTTGGCATTTTATGTGCTGGCATTTTAATTAATTCATGCTTAAATTGTCGGCACATGGCAGCTTCTTAATAGACGGTCTGCTCCTTCCATCCTAACTCCTTCGCCAGATCAAAGTGCTGGACAACTCCCGGGATGCTAATTGATAGCACGCTTCTCCATTATCTGAAGTATTCGGTTGGTATCGCCTTGATTACCTTTTGGGTGATACTCTCAGAAGTTATTTTTTATTGCATAACAAACAATGCTATAGAACCTGTTTTTGAATTTCATATCTCTAACATTTACTATAGAAAATATTTTTCCTTATACTATGAAGAAGGCGAAATAAATACATTTCTCTCTAAAATTGGAATAGTTGTGCCTGAACAACAATTGACATTTTGACATCTTAATCGCAGCATGTGTAAAATTAAAAAACTTTTTTCATTTCGAGAGGCAATTCCGTTTGACGTGACTCGGCGCCAGAATGCAAATGTGCAGCAGGCGAAGAAGCAGTACAGTATCCTCGACGATGCCGGTTGGAAATTAAATGAAAAGCCAGTGACGGTGCAGGGAAATGCTGGAAAATGGGAAAGCGAGCAGGTGGCAGCAGCAGGTAAATCAGCTTG